CCCCCTTTCCAGCTATCTTTTTTGACCCTTTGTAATTCTTTTTGTTCATCGTTTCTTGCGCTTTTTTCGTTGTTATCGCTTTATTCTAGAGTAGTTCTATCAATTCCCGTCAAAAGAGGGTACAATAAATTTATTGCTAACGGTGCCTTTAAAAACATACCTTAGCTCAGCCATAGTCGCCTCGAGCTCTTCACGTAACTTGGCACGTTCAGCCTCAATGTCAAACTGTGGTACAGGAGCGGCTAAAATTTATTAATTTGGGGGACGGCATAGTTATCGTGTGTGGTCAAGCGATGGGTGGGAACTCATAATCAATTTATAGACATATATCAGAAAGTTCACGCCCTTCACCTAACTCGAACTTCATAATCAATGTTTGCAAGCACGTGTGATGAACCTCGGAAAACTTGCGATTGCGGCCAGCGTGTGCCGAATTTCAAGCAACAAATCAGAACAACCGAACGCACACCGTCTATCGAACTTGCATTTGCATTGAAAAAGGGAGGGAACCAAAGGTAAAAGCAAGGAAACACGGTCGACGAATAAGCTTGCATACGAACAGAAGTACTGGAGTGAGCAAAATCTTGAAATCTCAGGAAAAACCTAGAACTCCTTCCGTGGTTTCCCTACGGTCTCGTCTTTGCAGGCTCACAGCGAAATATGTAGGTCGCAATCGGTAGCGGGACATGAGTACATGACGATTTCGGCAATAGAAACTCAGCGCATCCAAAAACCTTACCATTTGCTCCAGGAGCAAGCATCGCTTTGAGCCGTTCAATCTCTTCCTGGTACTCTCTGAGCAAAGCGTCCTTCGGATCCTCATTGATTTTCGGCTTGTTTTTGATGTTTTTTGCACGATTCGCATACCTAAGTGTTTAACATGAGATGATTTTTGGCAGATGACATCTTAATTCAAGCCTGCAAACTGGGCAAGAGGTGCCATTGCGGTTACATCTTTGGGACCAGATCAAAAAATGCTCCTTTGTTGTGCAATATTGTTTGGTAAATTTTGAAGCTTGAAGTACAGGTAAGCAACTAGCACCGATGGCTGCTAGTTTTAGCGTTGCCACTGACTCCTTTGAAAATACTAACTGAAATCTCCGATTCATTCGCTCTAGGCTACATATTCTATCTCACCTTTTCAGATGCGATCGAAAAAGCACTGACTTGCGGTTTTCACATAAATCATTTCTTTATATGAAAGCTATCTAGTTTACAACCTGACCTCCATCTTCAACTCTCTCTTTGTTAGGCGAAAACTTATGTTTAACAAGAGACTACACCCGTTGTCGTACTACGAGGGTTGCCTTTTACATTTCGGGATTGAGCAATCCTAGCGCTGCAATCTGGCAACTGACAGCTGTATCGTAAAGTTTGGCTCTTTTGAGGTCATACTTACTCAGAACGTTTCGACATATGAGCACTCCTTGTGCTGTTTACACTAACTTAAAAAATTTACTCAGGCCCTTGGCGCCCCCACCCCCAACTTAGGCCAAACCTCCTTCCCTTTTAACCTCCCCCTCCCCCTTTGGCGATGAAGCTCCATTAAGGACCACTGCTTATCAACGGTATGGTGAATTCTACTGAGGTCGTTGTTCACTCCAAGACGAATTTCGGGGAGGTCTCCAAAATCAGTGGTTATTCCGATGTTGTCCGCAAACTAATACTGCAAGATCGTCATATGACCTATGGTGAGATTGGGACGACCTTAGGCATTAAAGGGACCAGCACACATTTAATATTGCATGAACAATTGACTGTAAAAAAATTTGACCTCACAAAATTTGTCAACCCCTCAGGAAAAAGGCTCGTGTCGATTGGTCGGAAGAAATGCTCAAAAAATACGATCGCGGTGCTTCGAAACACGTCTATGCAATCGAGACAGGTGATGGATCAAGGGTTTACGCGTGTGCGTATTTTAAAATGAGCCAAATCCAACAAAACTGTCCGCGCACGAAGCACTTCCAAGCAAGTGGTCGCCTGATTTTTTGGGAAAATTGGACATGTCGCAACTGTATCACTAGAACAAGCAGAACAGTCATTTCTGAGTGACATACAACAATTTGTTTGCCAGTTGCCTTCCAAAAAATCAGGAAAACCAACTGCCGAAGGTTGATCACCCTTCACCACGACCATGCGAGCTCCCGCACATCGGCTTAAACAACTGCATTTTTGAGCACTCAAAACAACGATTTGCCGAGTCAACCGCCATACAGTCCCCGAATGGTTTCTTTTCAGTTCCGTACATAAAAAAAAGAAATGACAGGTCAACGTTTTTCGACACTTGAAGAGCGGTTGTTTCGTTCAGAATGCATATTTTGGAGATACCTCCATCAGAGTGGTGAAAGCGCTTCAAAAATTGTTTCGAGCGCATAGAAAAGATCCGCATAGAAAAGAGAGAAAAAAGATAGAAAAGAGAAAAGAAAAGGTATAGATCTTAATGAGGGAAATTTTCAAAGGCAGTAAAGCGATTCTCAATGATTAACATTTATTTTTGTTTTCTAATCCTGGAATATATAAGGCAATCTACGTACCAAGCGTCCTTCAACTGTTCGACCCATTAAGCTCCCCTCTACCACTACTATTTTACCTCTTCTTGTAAAAGAACGAAATAATAGATGAACTATTCACACCAGTCATTGCTACTGATGAAATTTTTACTGACAAACATTCTGGCTCAAGAGACCAACTAAAGCTCGTCATTGCGAAAGCGTTAGTTGGGAGAGATCGTAAATCTCACAATGCTCCACATTACTGTATCGTTAACACACATTCATAAATGTACCTCAGAGTTGATAGTGTCTCGTCGTAGTTGTTGTCAGACGGCGAAATGCATGCAATCATAATCGTTTTCGTATTACCTCCGAGAGAATCCTTAAGATAAGTTGATTATGAAATGAGTCTGGACAGAAGCTTGTAAACTAATTTATCAGAACAAGCAAGTTCTGCATTCATTATTGCTCAACAGTTTACAGTTAAGGAGCTTTCAAATTGACAAAGATGATAGTTAGCACAATTTTGTATTCGATAAAATATAGACCGATAGTTGTGTTTCGCGACTCTCGCCACACCCAAGAAAAAGTTCCCTAAGAACAACGCTGCAAGAATCCACGCAGTATTCAAATCGCGCGCTATATTGGTTGAACTTCGCGCGCAATGTGAAATGTTCTAGAAGCCAAATACCCTGGACTACGCAAGAATTCCAGCTGAATTACTGTCACTCCTCTCCTAATCTTCGCGCCGCTCCAGCCGTCCTCACGCGGCTTTGTCGTTGATGGCTAGTTAGCCGTCTACCTTGGTCACTTCGTGATCCTAAACTGCGACTTGGCCTTCATACATTCCATCACCTAGTTGCTGTTATCCCGCGCTAGAATACTCACCTCCCCTCCCCCCGTAACTAAGTTATAAAAGCATTCTCCCGAGAGTTCTTCTCTGGTGTATTGTTAATTGTAACCATCTTCCACCATCGTCTTGTAGTTTGAAAACGTTCAGCATGATTAAAAGTCACCTCTTGTTGTCTTATTACTTATTAACTTGTTTCCTATCACCTCTTCTTTTCCGCATTTACTTATTTCGTTAGGAGAAGTGTTCCGAATATGTTTGTGTCTAATTTTGAAAAAAAAAACTGATAAATCGAGAATTACTGCCGTGTTATGTTGTTTTGTGTGCTTGTTATAGTTTACTTATTTCCTATGACTAGGTCCATATTGTAGTATATAAATATACATANAATCATCGCTTTCGAGGTCCGTCAACTCTTCCAGTCTGCCTTGTCCTCAATTTTCATGGCTCTCATGGTCTGTCGCTGCACTATCTCCGGGCATTGTCAGCACTTTTCAACCTTCGTTCTAGGCTGAATATGATGATACTCTTCAATATGTCAGCTTATCATTGTATCCAAAGGGTGTTTTGCTCCAACATGATTCAGTCTTCCTGTTGACCCTAATAAACACCCAATAGGCCGCCCTCGGAGTGACAACAAATGCTCAACAGTACCAGCATGTTGAAGAGGGGCAACAGATTCCAAGAAGCGCAACTATGTCAGAGCCATGGAGAGCGGAGCTACTCTGCTAATATTACAAGTACATATTCCTTCGAACTCAGGTTGTACAGTTACAATTTCAACACGAAGATTTAATAGTGCTGCTTGTTCCGGTGGCGCGAAACCGAGATGGTACACAAGAGAGCAGGATTCAATAAAATCAACTGAAAACAGATACAGAAAAGACATGCCGCTCGAAGAAACTGCCGCACACACTTTCAGCTCCTGGTTTGAAAGGCGTGATCCTGTCATAGAACAATAGAGTATTTCACAAGATAACAGAAAAAATCTCAGTAGAAGAACTCCACAATGGACAACCGCGATTGACAAGAATGAAAATGTCTGCTTGAGGATATGTGTAGCCATAGTGGATTGACGGCCCTGGTGGCCACATGGATCGGTGATGATCTAAGTTTTAACCTAATGCAAAAATGGTGCTAGACGTTTCGTGGAACTGCTGTGAGCGCCTGGATTTTTCCCTTATTTTGAATCTCTTTTGTACATTAGCTCGGATCCAAAAATATTTCCGAAAATAATAAAAAAAATTATGAAAATTATGAATACACGAATGAGGGAGGAGGGAATGAAATGTATGGAGCTCACCTGCAGTAGCCTTGTAAGTTTCGAGTCACGGTAAGGAATATGCTTTGATTTTCCGTCCACTAGAGCAGAAATGACGTTGCCTAGTGCGGACAAGGAGAGGTTGATTTTGGTCGCCTCCTTGAAGCGATCGCCGGTTGCACCTGGAAGATGGTTTCAAAATAGATTAAAGAATTACTGCAAAAATTCGAGATGGAGCGTTACTTCAATCACGAGCCAAAGAGACGGATTCGTAATATTACTCTATATAGGAAATGGGAAAACCATTAAACGGAAAAGCTAAGTGTGACTCTAATGTGAGGAACTCTGATGTGTGCCATTCCGAGGCGTACCGAATACAATACAGAATGAAACATACCGGTTTTTGACTGTCGTTCACTGCCGGCTAGATCGACAAGGTTGAGTTTTCCTGTCCGGATCGAGCCATTTTCCATCATTCCTTCAACGTAGACGGTGAAAATCGAATGGCTACGAGAAGAGTCCTTAAATGTTCTTTAAAAGCTTACTGGAAGATATCAGTTAAGTAGGTGACTGCCCCCAAAATCCTTCCAAAACCTATGTAGATCGAAGCGTAGGTGTAAGTTGTCCGAGAATAAAGGTAAAAGCAAAAAGCCAAGAGAGAAGGCCTTGGTTTGACAGCCGTTTTTCAGCAAAAAAGTTGGAGAATAAAGTCGCTTTATTTTTGGATCAGAGATGAGCAAAACAGCTCGTGCCTTCTCGGAGACCACTTCAACGGTGCAAAGTCCTTTTTACATCGGTGTTCACAGACCTTCTTCCTTGGAAGAAAGTAACCATAACAGCGTGCTGCTATCACCAATGTTTGAGAAATTTCATCTCACTGAAGGTGAATCCAATCGAAAATAACAAAAAATGCTAGAACTGCAGCGCTAGCAGTCATTGGTCGTCGGAACCCAATCACGCCTGAAACGACTGCCCCTGCGGTAAGTGACCGGGGTGGAGCGAATGTTTGCGGGTAAGATATAATATAATATATTGCATAATCCTATAACCCTCCAACTCCAAAATGCTGGCTTCCAACTCTCGATCCTTCGAGGAAGATTGGCCGTAACTTTCAAAATGACACGGTGCTCCCAAAAGGGCAGAAGACAAAGCGAGAGTGCACGAATGTCTCAACCACGCGAAATTTCGGTCATTATGCGATGCAACTTATCAAAGAGACCTATGGAAGCTCAACAACATTCATTGTTCCGGAAAGAAGCATGAGTTTGTACAACAGCTTGCTTAGCCCGAGGCGAAGGAGGTGTCTCCCAAGGCTGAAACTTTCTTTCTCAACATCGTTGAGTACCTTGTTCATCAGTGTCGCTCCTACATGACGATTATTGAATCCCTTGTCCATGAGTTCATGGCACGTCTTCACGTCGTGACACACATGCATTGATAAACCTGCTACGTACACTCCCCTCTCTGCATGTTCCTGAAAGCGATAAAGTTTGAACTGATCAGTAAATCTCTTGGAAGTGATCGGAATTTCCTCACTTTTATCTCCAATTTTTGATTTTTGTCCACTCCAAGGAGGTCGCGCACTTCTTCATTGTAAATCTGAAATCAGTGTCCATTTCACTTTACAAACGAACAAGCCTCCTGGAATATAAAAAAATTGCAAGGTAATTTTGGCTAAAAAACAATCACAAGAGATGACTTTTGTCAAGAAGATAAGAATCATGGGAAAATGAAGGATGTGCGAAGCGAAGGAGGGCTGTTAATGTGAAGAAAGTATAGGACAAGAGGGCCGCACAGGCCAAAACGCCATCATTGTGCTTGACAACATCTTGACCATGTTCATCAACGAACGTCCTTAGGGAGGTATGAACGCTAAGCTTACGAACTCAAATATAATAAAAAGGTTAGTTTAAGTATACAATATTATGATATAGGTTGTATAAAAGGGAAATAACCTCAAGGTAACTGCAGTGGATGAGAAACTTCATGTTTTCAGTGGTAGCGGTAGCCAGGAAGATGTGCTCGAATGCTCGTGGGATGATTCCTCGCTGAGCAGGAATGTTCGAGATACCTAGAGATGCAAAAAGATTACGTACTGATGGCTAACATTGAGAAATGACTGCGTTTGTTCACACAATTTATATTATTATAAAATAAACTCCAGTAAAGGTAAGTGTACCGTTTTCTGCCGTTATACAGTGCTTGACATAAAATTCGTGGGGAGCGAATGATCGGATGTACTCGTAAGTAATGGGCAGTTCAAATAACTCGGCGTTTGATTTACTTCCAACTACATTTGTTTACACTAGACTCACACTAACCTTGCATAGAAAATGTTTTCCCTGATCCTGTTTGACCATACGCAAATACGGTACCATTGTATCCTGTTATGACATTCTGAACACGATTCATGTTTTGATGCAAGGAAAGAACAGCTCTATCGCTTTTCGATCGATCGGTAACTCTCAAAATCGGACCTCAACCAAAGGGTAGACGATATCGTTGTAAATCTGCTCTCCGGTAGCATCCATATAATAAGCACCATCGAATGTAAACAGTTTTGGTGGCCCATCGGATATTAGGGTGACCTGGGCCGAGGCTGGATCCATCTCCACACATACCTTAATTCAAGCACAAAACATTAAAGACACAGCGGTCGTTCAACCTCAACTACTGTACAGCGGCGGTGACACAAATTAAGCAAAAAAAAATGTAAAAAGCATGGCGATTCTGTTAAGTACCCAGGTAACGAAGCATAGGGTAGTACCATATACAGTACGGTGAAATATTGTTGTACTGGTAGAAAATGCAGTACAAATAATGTTCAAACGAGTCCGCATTGTCTCTAGGGAAGAGCTGCTGAGATATAGTTCTAATCGACTATTGAAATGCGTATTGTTATTGGGTAAGTGTGATAAGAATGAAAAATCCAGTATAGAATTTGGTTATTTCTTCCCACATCAAATCAAGATATTCTGGAGGAGGTGCTCTAGAGCCAAGTGATGCATTCTCACGCATGGGCTGGGGATCAAATTCTGGATTGGTAATCAACCGAGTTGACCGAACCGCTCGTCCTTTATGATTGGGTTAATCGATTCTGGAAATTTAAGCAATGACTTGTATATCGCCTGGCTACCGCAAGCCATCTAAAGACCACGTAGGTGATCAAAATCGCTACTCGATTCCTAAGAGAACTCGAATGATGGGCTATTCCAAACAAAAATGGTTGGTCGACTCCAAAAGTTTTTATAGTTTAATCGGGTCCTTGTTCAAGGAGGTCGGTGTCCTATTACGGGCAATGTATTCTTGGATGTCTTTCTTGGTTCTTCTTGGATGATTCCCAAAGTGCTCACTTAACAACCCTACCACCATACCCCTTCAGTACATATCCTTCTGTGTTTACCATAATGATGATAGATTTTCCTACCAGCATAACGACTGTAGCACCTTCTTCAAAAGATGATACTTCAAGAGTCTCGCCAAACTCCGTGTAACTAAACTCTCTTTGAAAAAGATGAAAAATTTGGTTACGAAGAGATTCCCATTTTCTTTTCCCTGTTGACAAATGGAGAATCTGCTATAGTAAGTCTGAAAAGAAAAGAGAAACAAATGGAGAGAAGTACTATGTCACTATAGTGCACTTTTTGTGACGATTGTGTTAAACACGGTCAGCAACAAACAAAAGTAGAGGCTTTGAGAATAAATTTCATCGAACAGATCCTTTCTTTATTTATAGATTAGGTGATCCAGTTGTAAGTCGGACTGTCTCCATCCTTCAGAGCCCTCAACTGGGGTCATCGTACGAGGACAGTTAAGCACTCTGTGGACTTAGAGTAGAAGGGATTTCACTTCTCCAACGATTTACCTTGAGAACTGATTTTACTTTTTTTCGAGTGGTGACTATCGCCCTTACTGCTGACATCCTCACTTTGATTTCTGGTCAGTTGAAATCAAGTGTTTAGTTCAAAAGGAGTGAAGTTACAGTTATATCAACTTCAAAGTTTCCAGTCACTCTCACTCGACAATCAGCTTACCAAAATCCGACCCTATGTATTTGCTGATTTTTGTTCTCGATGAGTTCATTAATATCACTCTCATTGGTCAAGATTCCACAGCAGCACAGAAGCGTACGAATGACTCGTTACTGCTGAAGCCACGAGCTTCAATTCGCGGTAATTGGCTTGCCGCTATTTTTCCGTGCGGTATCTATGGAAATGGACATGTGCATATGTATAGGCATGATAGGAATCCCCACGCGTAATGAGAAATTCTCCCGATCAACCGCAAACGAACGAAGGCCAATTAGTTCGTTCGGAGTTAGAGAGGTGAAAATGCGAATGTTGCAAAATATCACTGCAACGCTATCAGAAACCGGCTCCATCTTTCTACCGTATCCTACCGTTGTAGAATTAGACAAGCATTCTCCAAGGTACAATGGCTAATATTTACAACAGGGATTCGCAAAAAAAATTTTAAAGGCAAAACAAAGTACAATATGGAGCAGAGGTTGTGCGCTGGCAAGTGGCGTACCATTACGCATGATCCGTGGCTAACTGAGGTCTCAACTTTTTTGGAGCCAAGTAAATATGTAGAGCCCGTATCGTCATCGAAAATAAAGTCGCAGTAATAGAGCACTAATTACCGTAACCCCCCGCCCCCTCCCTCTAAGCGTTCTATATGTAGATGATGTATGCCTTCGATCACCCCTACGTTTCGAAATGGAAATTGAAGTGAAATGGCTGCATCCCCCACGACTGTAATGATGAGCGATAAAAGAAATTGACGGGTTTTCTGTATACAAACAAACCCTCAATCCCATGTTACTGGGCAATCCTTTCCAACTTTAGGCATGCTCAAACGCAGTAGTCCCCATTAAATGACAAATACCTGAACAGATCTTGAGAGTTTTGCATATAGCAGAACACCGGATATGTGGCCTATCAGTATGTTTCATCCAATTTATAATCACACCCCTCACTCACAAAAGTCTCGGCTTCGTTTCTTGTCTTTTATTAGGTCGTGTGGAAAGTGGAGGCAGAGAGTTCCGCAGCCCATCAGTAGAACAACCATGAAAAAAGGGCACCACTCCGTTTTCACTATCTGAGGAACTTTAATAACAAAGAATTGTGTGATAAATCGAAGTTTTCCCTTTCCATACAGTATTGATGATCAGGAGCATTCTCAGCTCACAATAAGGCAAATTCTGAGGAAACTCTGAAGGCACTAAATCACAGGAGCTGTTCACATTGAACATTCTCATAGCCGATCAAATTCGACCATTTGGAGTCGGTTGCCGCCTTCAGCAATTACTAATGATAGCAAATATGCATTCTTCCTTTTTTAAAGAACCCCAGAATTGGTGGATAGTGAAAGTGTTTAGTGTGGATTCAATCTGACACTAATTGGTACTTATCGACTTCAAATTAGTATGATAAAGTCGCATGCATGGTCATTAAGTTCACTCAAAGCTTTCGACAAGCCGACGCCAGTTCTGCCTGTTCTCGCGAAGTGACATAAGGAAGAGCTCATCGTTTTGGTTTGAATGACTGGTGAATGGGTCGCACAGGCGAAGAAACTTACTACGAACACCATGATGTCACGATCATTCAACACATGCTAAACCTCATTGGTAACCTCGAAAAACTTTTACTTCCAGTTCCCCGAGAAAACTCTAGACCATTTTCTAAAAATGTTTTTTTCCCAGATTCCCCCAAATCCATAGCAAGGGTGAGAGCAAGAGGCTTCTACCTCCACGCTTCCTCACTTGACATTTTTCGCGCTTATGAGCATAAATTTTATTGATAAAAAATAAATTACTTTCTTAAAGTTAATTACATTTTGCTGTTCCACGAAAGGTATTGGGTAGCTTTTTTTCTCTTGTACTGGGTAGCTTTTTTTCTCCTTTTTTTTCAACCGTCTAATTAGTCACGATTGTAGCACATTCACATGAGCGGCGTTACTCAATGACTACANAGTATTCAAAAAAAAAACTCCATATCCTCAATGTGATTATCGGGTGGTAGAATTGCTGCTGCGTCACTGTAATAAATTTTCAAGGCTCTCACCGTGATGAATTAGTAAGGCTGTTCTGATTAAAAACTGGGGAGTAAACACTCCAAATTTCACTGCCAGAGAGGTCTACAAGGTTCTTTCTTACTCAGATGACAATCTGAGGAAAGAATAACTTATGTGAGAAGCAGAGCCTGATTGCCTTATATTCAATAGCTCTAGCTCACTAGATTATAGAACAACAACTTGGTATACTGCCCTTTCTACAACACTAGGAATCAAGAACAACTAAGTCAGTTTTATCTTTTGGCATGGCCGAAAGCGTTCTGAAAAGAACTCATTCTTGGAACTCGAATGCAGTTATGCAGTTCTTTTTCACCAGAGACGGACCTAATTTAGTAACAATCGTCAAGATGGAGTAAAAAATCTGTACACATATGGTCGCAGATGGGACTTCACGAAAGCTCTGCATAAAAGGAATGTTTTGCCCGTGTCCTCAGGACGAGTACGATTCACTGGACCACTCTAGATCTCGACAGAAACGAATGAAGACGTTACTGAAAATCGACGAAATCGTCGATCAACGGGATGACAGATGATACAGGTGATGATCGTAGATAAAAAGATATGAGCAGGATGACGCTTTTGCCTTGGAGCCTTGCTGTTGAAAGGAGTATGTACGTAATAACTATCACAGGCTCAATGAATAGAAGAGATTTCATGCCTCGTGAAAAATTGCGGCAGGTAGATTTTTCGTCACTTGGGGCTTTTTGAAATCCCTTTTTTTAATTCTAGGGGACAAGTGTCATTCGTCCCCTTAAATTAAGAGTGTAGGCACAGAATGAATTTCTAAGGTGTTACGCTGTTCCCTCGGAAATGTCACGCAAAGCCTACGGTATTGGTGAGTTGGATAAAGTGCCCTGCAACTACGGTAATCCGTCTTTATCTCTACTACTTCGAAAAATAACCGGCCAACACTTCAAGATCTATCCCCAGTTTTTGCGAGAAGCCTTTTATATGGCTTTAGTGGGTGGAGCTGCAAAGCTGAACTGGGTTTTGGTTTCACTCCAGAAAGGAAGCATCCATTCCCCCATCCGACACCCACTGACCATCTATAACGGGTGGACATTTTACCAGACCATTCACTTTTTACATTAAGGGAGGTCCATCCATTCTCTCATGGCGTGAAATGCGAGCGATCTTATGGCATGTCCATTTGATTTATGTCTAGGCACGTTGTGTTGTAGCTAGTACAAAGGGCATTGTAGTAGAATCATGTTTTTTCTTCTCAGCAATGGATTTTTCACAGAGCGAATTATGTTTCATAACCCTTGGCAACAGGATACAACCACGCCTCCTTCAAATTCCCCCTTGAACTAGAGAAACTTTGGAAATTCTGTCTCATGCTGATAGTAGTAGAACATTTCTTAGAGTAGTGTGTTATGTAGAGAGTCCGAGAGTTTGCGTTCGTAATGAAGCCTACCCTTTCTCAAAAGGAATTCAAGCGGTTTATGGCAATCAGGCGTTTTCCATAACCCTTTTCGTTAATC